ACCACACTATCAAAAACAAGATTATATAAAGAAGCACTTTTTCACCCACAGGATAAAAAAACGACTTTGTTGTATTGGCCTGTGGTGCATCATAGTGATCAAGCATACTTAATGATTATACAAGTCCTTGTCACTAACGAACGAAACATCGAAAAGTGTGCATACAAATTTAATCTTCAAATTATTAAATGCTTCCAGATGGAATAGCGAGAAGTCTGCGGACTCACAATGCTGTAAATCGGTTTTTCGATACCCGTGGTGGGTGCAGCACAGATAGTCCATTGTGTAGCTTTATGCTCACCTACCAACAGATAAACAAAGTAAATTATATAAACTACACGATGGAAAGAGAGTACTCTGTCGTAATTAAAAGGAAACTTGATAAATCGGATAAACAGAGTGAAATTGAATGAAAGTACAGCGTTTCACCAGGTTATAAACTGTCTTGTTGAAATGTAATATCACACATTTTTTAATAAGATTTTCAGTTTTACCTTCGATGACGCAATAACTTAGCATAAACGATGCCTTAGTCTAAAAAAAAATAAAAAAACACAATAAGACGCCTTCTTTGATCTCAAGTACGAATTATATCACTGACAATTAATCCAGCTAGTGGTAAATTCTAACGTATTTAATTCTATAACCCACTTTGGACAATTTAATTAGTGATAAAAGAAACAGGAAATATGCGAGTGACTTGATGAAAATTCCGCCACTTCGCGATAAACGCGAGATAATTAAAATATATAGATCACCTAGACTTTTTTAATTGGTTGTAGAGGTGCCTAATATAATTATTCAAACATAGAAAATTGCCCTCTCAACGAATCTTGATTATTTGTTTAGGTCAAAACGACACAATGAGCTATTTGCGGATTAAGCCTTGAATTTTAGCGTTATATGTCATGAATTCACCGGGGGACCGAAACGTTGTATGTTACAATACAGTAATGTAAACCGTTACATGACAAAAATCAGTTTGCGTGTCTGCTTATAATTGGCGAACCGCTGGACAGAGTGTCACGAAACCTGAAATACCGTATTTTTCGGTGTATAAGACGCACTTTTTTACTCCAAAATTTGATGTCAAAATCTGCTTGCGTCCTATACACCGAAGTTATGAATAATATATACGATATACACAAGCCATGTGTAAATATATTTAAATAGGGCATGCATAGTTCAGTTCAATTGCATGTGTTATTTATAACAATAGTAGTTTTTCTTTTAAAATTATAACTATTTATAATGCTCCCTAAATAATAAATTACAGTGAAAGTAATGAAGATTTTGAACCAAACTTAATAACAGTAAACTTTTTGATTTACAGTATTTTCTTACTTTGATGTTTTGAGCTCTTTTGTGTTTAGAACAATATATACTAATTTTTAAAGTATCAAACTGAATTTTTGTTCAATAAAAATCTTTTTAAATGCGACTGTAGCTTTTTTTTCCCCCCAAAACTTTGTCTTCAAAATAAGGGTGCGTCTTATATTCCAAAAAATACGGTAGATAAAATTCACAGAGGTTTAACGAGAATGTCCACAAGATATTCAGTATAACAAATTTTAAAAGAGTGCGTTTTTTTTGTTTTTTTTCTATGAGAAGCATATTTCTGTGAAATACCACGTAGAATAGACGACGAAACTTGAATTATATAATACGTCAGGACAAGTGTTTTATCTTTTGGTCTTACAATTTGTGTATTCATTAGCTAGTTGGAAATGTTGTTGGTTGATGGTAGTTTTACCTAGTTGCCCTTTTGCTCATTCTCGGCAAACTGAAAGAAAATGGTTGGTGCGATCGTCTACGAAGTAAATGGAACACCACTTACCATTGATCAGGTATTGACTATACTGTAAAATCCAGAAAGATGGAATTTCCAGGGTTCCAGAAGCTAACACTCTTCACATTTACCTCTTTGACTATGAAGGAAGACCAAACACATGTGTCGACTGGCGTGTCGATCAGTACAGGTAGACCCACGAAGTCATTCCATCAAAAAACAATTAACTGAAAGCCAGTCCATTTTCATCGATGTGGGTATGAAATGGCGAATGAAAGTATACAAATGGTAATGGTGCAATATGTTGGACCCCATGACACGTGTGAAAAAGACGTGCCCCATGGCAATATGAAGAGATATCCCAGTAGAAGTCATGTAAGAGTTATGCCGTCAGTGCTGAAAAGAATGGCAATCTATAAGAATCAAACTCCTACTTACAATTACGAGAAAAGCGTTGCACAAACCTATGTGTTTGGGTCGCATGTGAAAGTAAGTGTACCAAAGGACACAGAACAAGTCAAAAACAAACTGAAATTTGAAAATAAGAATCAATCACGATGACCTATACAGTGTATATGAACAGCACTTTTCTCTGGAGGGGTTTATTCACAACTATAGTGTTGTTCCTAATTTTGTTCTTATTTTAGCTCTTCCATTTGTCGGTTTATTTGTTTGTAATTAAACACAAAGCTACACAATGGGCTATCTGTGATCTGCCCACCACGGGTATCGAAACCCGGATTCTAGCGTTGTAAGTCCGCAGACATACCGCTGTGCCACTGGGGGGGTCCATTTGTTGGAGAGTCTTTGGTATAAACTCCCCTATTTGCTGCTTTCTTATCATACAACTTTTTAGTTGGGAGACTTAAAGTGCAATAACAGTGGCAGCACTTATACATGAAAAAAGGGGTCAAGAAATGCGCAGGTTATTCTTCTCTACAAAGTTGGATACAATCCCTGAGCTGTGTAATTGTGTTGTGGTAACAGGCAGAGAGTCTAGAATTGTAAAGGCCATAGAAAATGCACTTCCAGAACCAAACCATGTGATTTGTTGGAACCATTTACTGAAATACGTGCAGCACACGAAGGAACGGTACCACCTTGAATGTATCAACAAAAAAAATCACTAGAGGAAAATACATTTGTCCTAAATGCATGTAAAATGCTTTAGTTTCGTTTGGTTTTATATCAGTGCCATTTTATATTGTTTGTTGTATCCCTTTAGAGCCCTTTTTTTAAAGTTTCTTTTGTTTAATTAATACTACTTTTCTGTATTTCATTTCATGAAATTCTTTGTAATACCTAAATTGTACTCCTGTCGTATATTTGCTATATTTAACACAATTATGTCTTACTAATTTCACATATTTAATTCGCCATTATATTTAATGTTATTTTGATGCTTAGAATTGCAATATTTAAAGTGGCTTTTAGGAAAATTATTTATTTTGCTATTTTGTGTAGATGTATGATGTGAGAATAATCCACATAAAATACACGGGGTACTGGAGCTGTGTTTGACACGCCGAGTTACCGCGATGTATTTACAATGTATATATTCCAAATTTAGCTTCAAAATGCTACCACTAAGTCGTCAGTGGTGACAGAGCCAATGGTAGAATAATGCATCAGTACACTAGCAAATGAAAGAAAACCACATGACAAAATCAACGAAAGTATGAGGTCGCAAGAAAATAAATTACAGGATAAACACAGTAACGAAAATATTTAACAAAACCGATTAAAATAGCTTGGAAAATAAAAGTGACTAATAGAAAGTTCAAAGCTGTAGGATCAGTCGTCTCAAATGCTTAACTGAATACGTAACTCAACTTACAATTTCCTTACGTTTTATGTTGGTAGTTACAGTAACATTCAGGAATTCATGCACAGTTTCAGAATGAAACACATTCGATGTAGTGTTTCAACACGCTGGACAGCGTATAACTCGGCGGTTTCATTGAAAGCATCGAATTGTTACCCAATGGACTATAGAACACTTTCATCAAATTACATTGCTCGTGTATCTGCAATACAATCAAATTGACACCTTTTGTGATTTTCAGGATTTTTTGTGTTCATCCGCAAACATTTGTACTGATAAAAAAGAATGTAATTCGCTATAACGATTATATTTGTTACTATTTCACTTATGGAAACAGAGTAATAGTTTGATAGCATTTTTAAATCGATCGGAGTTGCTTTTATGGATTATTCGACAAATGTTACCTTGGTTCGGCTTTCACTTATTCCCCCCGTCATGGTAAACTTTTGTGATCGTCCAGCAACATCTTTATTATTTATGAAAACATGAAATAGGCTTTCACAATAATTTTATGCGGACAGAAGCAAGAGAAAGCATTTGGTGTGATGTTATCAAGGCGATCGGACTTCATTAAATGGCCCTTTCGGACAGTTTGGTGAGGTTTCGAAAACATTTTTATGAAATATGCAAACATGAAATGTAATGTCACAATAATTTATGTTGATTATGCAGAGAGAAGCAAGAAAAAAGCATTTGGCGTGGTTTTAAGAGGATCAGAGTTGATTAAATGGCCAGCCCGAGCACTTCTGTGGGGTTCCGGAAACATTTTTTATGAATTCTGTAAATATTAAATGTGATTTCACAACAATTAAATGTTGTCTATGCGGACAGAAGCAAAAGAAAGCATTTGGTGTATTTTCTAAGGGAATCGGAGTTAATTGAATTGTCCATCTGGGCACATTTGTGTGGTTCCGGCTTTCACCCATTTCCTAGTGCAATTAGTAAAATAAAATATGCAAAGAAATATGTCAATAAATATCAGTCAAATCAAAACTGACTGTATATAAAATGCAACTTTCTGATCAACAATATCAAATTTAAAATACTAATTTTTTTAAAGTGTTAAAATGATGGTAAAGCTATATAAATTATTCAAGCCAAATTAGAAGCTATTTAGTAAGTTTGTTTATGCAGTGATTAAATGAAACATAATTAAAAAGGATTTATTAATTTTCAATAAAACATTTATTAATACAAAAATTTCGCATAAAGTACATTTACACATCAATGCATAAAAGTAGAGAAATAAAAATTCTGTATAATTATTTAAGTTATTAAATATCAAAGTTACACATATCAAATTTAAAAGTTTATACTACAATATGAGGTATCATTTTCATCCAAGAATAAATTGAAAGACAAACTTTGTCTTAGAAATGTCTTCTCGGGAAAAACTTCAATATCAGAGTAATGAAGTTTGCAATGCCCATAAAATTCTTAATTTGTACTTACTTATTAATGTTAAAAAAGCTACTGCTTATCTATATGCTCAAACAATAAAAATACCTTAACAACTAACTATTATTGATTTTTAAAAAACACTTATAATTACTGCGAGAAATAAATAGATGCAAAAAATCCAAGTATAAAATTGTATACATATCTAAGATAAACTTTGCTTCAAAATTTATTTTGAGGAACTTAGTTGGAAGCAAAACTAGTGTTTTAAGATACATTTTGTCCAACAATTTGGGTTATAAAAAAGTTCATACAGGAATTATAGTATGCACCTGTCAAATATGTAGATACAATATGAAAATTATTAGGATAAAAATGACTAAACCTAAGCTGTTATATTTTTTGTTGTATATTTATTCACTAAATATTCTTTGGAAATTCTGAGTAGATGATTATAATACAGTTTATTTTGGTATTAATACTTATCACAACAAAATTTTCCTTTGTTATGAAACATGTAAAGCCATGATCTAGTTTTTAATTGGTTATTTGTAGAATCAGAGTTGTCACTTGCTGGAGTGATGTACAAATAAGTATCTGTTTTTATTGGTTAACAGTATTATTCAAATGCTTGATCTTCTACAGTATTTTCAAATGGTTATTTATAGAAATGAAACCGAGATACAGTTTCATTACAACAATACATATGAAGACACTACATTAAATATATATGGTTTCTCCTTGTCAGTGCCTTAATTTACAACATTTTTATATCATTACACAAAATAGTTTTTACATACATTATTATTTCTTCCTATGATCAATACTTAAAAGACCTCTAGACCCTCAGGTGGTGTTTAGTTGTACCATAGATTCATGAAAATCCAATGTTTCCAAGAAGTCTGCATTATTTTTGTACTAAATAAAAATCACAGTCATGTTTCAAAAATAAACTCAGTGGCAAGGCTAGGATTCTACCTTTAAATATACCAAAATGCATTGAAGCTGTTTAAAATCTCTGAACAAGCACAAAACTTAGACTAATAATAGATTATCATATGGGTGATTTTAGCAATTAACATGTAGCAGTACTAAACTAAGTGCAAGATATACCTAGTGGCAGCAAGTTTAAATTTAATAGTTTCCAAGTTTAATAGCAATATAATTCAACACGTGAGAAAAACAAATCAATCCCAATTATTAAAGAAAGTTAGTCCAACTACAAAGAAATAGACACAGAACATCAGAAAAATCTAAGTAAAGTTTAGAAAAAAAACAAAAAAAACACAACAACAAAACATTTGTTTAATAAATAGGCTTATTTCTAGACAAAGAACAAGCAATGCTTAGAAATAAGCCTCAGCAATTTTTTACAAGAACATTATAAATATCACTTTAGATGTTGGAGAAAGATGAAAGAGGAAAAAATAAAGCTAAAAGAATCTGAATAACTTTGTTACATTTTACACTTAAATGATGTAAAGCCCTTTGTGTTCTACATTTAATACTTCACCTGAGTGATTTGTTAACATGGGTGGGACCTTATGAGATCAAATAAACACTTAGCTACATCATATACATATAGTGTTTAAACAAAATGATTTCTATGTAATAAAAGGTTAAATATTTAAATAAGTACACAGTTGTCAGAAATTCTTAAAAAGTGGAATGTCATACACTCACTAATATGAAAAGGTATTATCAACAAAGACTATAAGAATTTGTGGTTATCTTGGTGACATTCTCTCTAATCACAATTACAACAAGTCATATAATGGCAACTAACTTAAAATTAATATACATATATCACACATCTGATACACTCCAATCCAAACTCAGATCATAGACTTCACAAAAGTGAAATAAAAAATACAATGACTTTTCTTTACTGATGTATTTTACACTACAATATTATTGTCAGGCTACTGCCTTCCCATTCTCTGTGATTTTTGCAACTTAAGGCAAAGTTATCCCATTCCTCCACTTCACTTTCTGATAAGGTCCTACATCTATCATTTTCCCAAGTACCATATTCATCAATACTTTCACTTATTTCCAATGTTTTACTTCAGCTATATCAGTTCAGTCTTGGCTGTCTTGATGTACTGCTACTGGTGTTAATGAAGGAGAAATAACAATTTCTTCAATCTAATTATCCTGTGGAAGAATTCATATTATCTACAGGTTGTTGTCCAGTATTCTGGTCAACCAAGGTGGCTTTAGTCAGGTAAATATCAGCTGGATACATAGAGTTTGTTTCACCCTGTAATGTGTGCTCATGGGAAACAGATGCCAGTTGTGCCCACTTCACTATAGGAGGAATCTTGTATGGCTGAGAAAGGTACATAGTTTTCGTGCTATTTACTTCTTTTGCAATAATCTCCTGTAAATTTAAAAACAAACCATTAAAAAAAGGTGGTAAGAATATAAAAGAAATATTACAAATTATAGTTTCTCTCTTTAGTTGAAATAAAGCAAGTCCGATAAACCATGGTTTAGGTATATAGTCTTTTATACAGGAGACTACAACAATATTTATTCTAATTTCTATTACAGCAATATTTATGCCATCACTAAAGAATGACCATTTTAGTTCTGTCAGTTGTTATATATATTTATATAAATCAGGAAAAATGACAATTCATTTATTAAGTAAATTTTCCTGACCTTGAATTCTTTTATATCTTCCCGAAGCGATATTGTTTCAGCCTGTAGTTTCTCCTGACGTTGCTGTAAGTCTGACAAATCAGCCAGGTTCTGGTACATAATTCGAAGACCTTCACAGAGATATGCATTCTGTACACAGCTACCAGGGGGCAGTGCTGCTCCCGAAACATAGCGATCAAATTCATCCTCACTTAAATTAAGTGATTCTGCTGTGAGACCCTCAATAAAAGCAACAGCACAGCACTGAAAAACAATAGTTAAACAGTATCAGAAGTCTGGTTTCTCACACCTTAAATGCTTATGAATCCTTAAAAGTTAAGATGTATAAAGGAACAAATACAAAAACAAATATTTCTCTCTCTCTAAGCAAAAGTAATTGGTGTCAAATTTACCTAGAGTACATAAAATTATTTTGCTAAGGACTGATGCTATTTTCTAGATACAAAGGTTATTCACTAACAGAAACAGAGGCTTTGATTGACTCACTAGCCACCACAGCAGTGCAATAGGCTTTTAACATCCTTTTGCACACCTCATCTGGGCAAACACATGTTTAGGTTCATACAGCATTAGGTTTTGGAAAACTTCTGAAGAACTATACCCCATTAATGCTCTGTACTGAGTTATCAGAACAAGACTGGTGGGGGCATCAATTTTCAAATGAAACTTGACTTCAAATGAAGAGGAGAATAGCCATTAATCATGCTCTAGACAGCAGACATCTTTCGAACCCAAATGCTTGTCAAGACACTTCAACCTGGAAAAATTATAAGGAGTCACTCTTAGGTACCATAGGATTGTAATGTTCCTGTAATACCAATTTTAAGAAGTCCTGTATGCAGATAACATGTACTTGTGTAAAATTAATTTCCATTGTAAACAATTCATGTTTGTGAGGCTTAATCCTAGTCGACCAGGCGATATATATTTATAGGTCATGACCAATTTGTCTATTTAATGAAGCTTAGTACAGGTAAGCCTAACATAAAATAAATGGGATTTTATTGCTAAATGAAAGTAGAATGAAGTAGTTTCAATTGTTTGATAGTACATAAAATACTTCTGAGTAGCACTAAATTTTTTTTAATTCTTGGACACATAACTCGTGTGTTCATAAACAAAAATATCAAACTGTGATTTCACTTAGACATGTTTATTCATTGAGTCAAGGAAGTGATTCCAGTATGTTGTATATTGTACTATCATGGTGGTGTTTCCAGTATGTTGTATATTGTACTAACAAGATGGTGATTTCATATGTTGTACTATCATGGTGGTGATTCCAATATGTTGTATATTGTACTATCATGGTGGTGATTCCAATATGTTGTATATTGTACTATCATGGAGGTGATTCCAGTATGTTGTATATTGTACTATCATGGTGATGATTCCAGTATGCTGTATATTATACTAACAAGGTGGTGATTTCATATGTTGTACTATCATGGTGACGATTCCAGTATGCTGTATATTATACTAACAGGGTGGTGATTTCATATGTTGTACTATCATGGTGGTGATTCCAGTATGTTGTATATTGTACTAACACGGTGGTGATTTCATACGTTGTACTATCATGGTGACGATTCCAGTATGTTTTATATTGTACTATCATGGTGGTGATTTCATATGTTGTACTATCATGGTGACGATTCCAGTATGTTTTATATTGTACTATCATGGTGGTGATTCCAGTGTGTTGTATATTGTACTAACAAGGTGGTGATTTCATATGTTGTACTATCATGGTGACGATTCCAGTATGTTTTATATTGTACTATCATGGTGGTGATTTTATATGTTGTACTATCATGGTGATGATTCCAGTATGTTGTATATTGAACTAACAGGGTGGTGATTGCAGTATGTTGTATATTGTACTATCATGGTGGTGATTCTTAGAATGTTGGAAAATCCATGAAAAATAATACTTAAAATGGTTTAACTCGTTCAAGTAACATAAAACAGTTTTTAAACATTTGACTAGACACGTTCATAAGTAAATTGTGTGCCGTGGATGTAAAGATAATAAATGTATGTGATATGTTTTGACTCAAATCACTGAACTTTGATGTCATTACTATCACATGAGAACATTCATCGACATTCTAAGCCACAAAGTTTTCCTTGAAATTTTGGTAAAATGAGAACAGTATTGCAGTACTACATAATGTCAAAGTATATGATCTTTGGTTTGGATTGTTTTGAATTTCATACAAAGTTACTCTAGGGCTATCTTCACTAGCTATCCCTAATTTAGCAGTAACAGACTAGAGGGAAGGCAGCTAATCAACATCACCCACTGCCAACTCTTGGGCTACTCTTTTACCATTAAACAGTGGTAATGACCATTACATTATAATGTCTCCACAGCTGAAAGGACAAGTGTGTTCAGTGATGGTGATTCGAACCTGTGACTCACAGATTAAGAGTCAAAGGCCTAAACACCAGGCCATGCCAGTATATGATTTTACCTTTCAAATAATTTCTCCTTTTTCCAGTAATAGTAGTAGCATCAAAGTTGTGAACTTTGATTTTTATATGTTTCTTTGTAAGCTGCGAGTAGTTAGAAGCCCGATTCTTGTCTATTAAAAATGCTGTTGCTAACTATCATGTTAAGTTTGTGCACCCTCTATTAGCAGGCCTCACAGTCAATCAAAGCCACTGTAAAACATTCTCCCATCTCAATTTCTGAAAAGTTTTTATTTATGCCACCAAAACTTAATACATGGGGTTACTGTAAAATTATAAATGGTAAAACCAATAAAAAAAAAAAAGGTGCTGATTACCCAATCCTACTACGGTTCTATCATATGAGTGAACAAAAAATTGCTAAGTCAAGTATACGTAATACAACTGTAAAACAAAACATTTACCAATTTAAGAAAACTGGATGCAGAATTATTGCAAAGATTATTTTCTGCAATTTAGCTTTTCAGTTGCAGATTTTGTCAATTTTTTATTTAAGTATACTTCATTTTATCAGAAGCTAAAACTCCCTTTACATTATTATAGCTGGAGTACCCGTAACCCTGGATGGAAATTATGTAAATTTGTTAATAATGAAAGGACATGAAAAGTTACTTCCCTTATATTTAATTGTAAAAAATGCATGAAACCAACAAATCTTAATGCCAAATTAGATGAAGATCGATCATCAAGGGGCGAAGTAGTGGTAAAAAGCACAAAACTCCCATGAAAATTGAAAAATTCAAAACTGAAAATTTGTATCCAGCTCCCCATGGACCAAATGAACCTCCAAAACAAACTTAGTGAAGATCCATTCACACCCTGCGATGTAGTTGCGTGGACATACAAGAGACAACAGACAGTACTATCATATTTATATAGATTACTAGCTGGAGTACCCGGCCCTGGATGGAAGTTATGTAAATTCATTAACAATGAAAGGTTATCTTAGGACATGAAAAGTTGGTTCCCTTATATGTAATTGTAAAAAGTGCATGTCTTGTCAAAGGGTGTTCAAAAATAATTGAACCTATCTGTGTGGACTATGATGTAAATGAGACAATTATTTATAGTTCAGGATATAACTGTGGTAACCCACAGGTTTACGTAAGTGAATTATTCACAGATACTATTGTGATAAGAGTAGAGAAAAATTTTTCGTCTTGTCAATTGGATTCTAAAGTAACTGAATTAGCTTGTGTGGACCCTTGACAAGAAAAAAAGAATCATTTAGAGTTTTATATAAAACTGATTTCCTATAGTGTAAATAATTTTTGTACATACATTTGACTTGTTTTGAATATATATATTTTAAAACAAGTGGATTGTGTGCTGCCCATTTACTGTCCAAATGTATCGCCAACAAGTCACAGACACCTACTGTAGAAGAATCCCAGCCCACTCATATTTAAAAACCTGACAGACATAGAAATCAATTCTACAGCTTGTTACAAAGAAATCTAGACTACAGACAGTGAGTGCTGATGCTGAGTCTTTGGCTCAATTTGAAGTTAAGCAGCCGAGTCTTGGAATTAGTAATGTTGATTCATCAAATCCTAATGCTGTAACTTCTCACTCTCTTTATCGACTGGGGCTAAATACCAGAAGAAATGGGAAAAGAAATATGAATGGCTATTTTTGATACATTCCTTGAAGAGGCGTTTTGTAAGTACTGCCAAGAATTTTTGAAAAATGATTTAACTGCACTACATAGAACAGGTGGTGTTTCCATAACAACTCCACTTACCAACTTTAGAAAAGCAACTGGGAATACCGGGAAGCTCTACAAACATTCTGAATCCACGAAACATGCTCATTCTCAATCAATGCATAAGCTTCGTGACAAAGGTCTTAAAATATCGGTTCATACTTTACTTATTCAACAGTCAATACTATTTAGTTATTATAACAACAGAAAACACGAGTATCTTATTTAACGGAATTCCTAAGTCCATACACTAAGCTAATAAAGCAAAATAATCTCTATATCAAAAGTATTATGATAAGAGTAATAATAAAACTAGATAGATGAAACATTCTAACCAGTTATATTAACGAAAATAATATTAAAAAAGAATAGAGTATACTTTACTTACAGAGCACAAACACTAGTTGTTAGCTTTAAATACTGTCGTAGATTCAACGTTCATTGGTGCCCCTGTTGTCTCCCTCCCCATGTAATGACATGTCCATATACCGTGAATTTAAATATTTGATTGGTCAGTCACTTGACCAGGTGGTTAGGGTGCTTGACTCGCATTCTGCGAGTTAACTTCACACTGAACTTTTCCTTGGACCATAACTTTACCTTCTTCTGCTATTGTCTGTCTGCTGTTTCCGCTCGTCTGCACCCATTCTAGATATCTCTATATTCTTGATGTCAATGTATTGCACACGATGTTTGATAGTCTCAATATCAATGAATTATAAATATAACTTCCTACAATTGTATGATTTCAACTATTATTATAAGAAAAAATTAAACAACAATAAAATATTCACACACAAAATAAATTAATTGTATTATGGCTCCCTACTGGCACAGCAGTATGTCTGTGGACTTACAATGCTAGAAACCCATGGTAAGCAGAGCACAGATAACCCATTATGTAGCTTCATACTTATCTTCAAATAAACACTGTATATCATGATAATGATAAATCCTTAATTCAGACAAAGGTAGAAAAATAGTGGTCACACTGAATTCACCATCCAACTAAATCAGAAACTTTATTACTTCAATTTCCTTTGTACATATGACTTTTTTCCTGTAGAAAAAGATTGAAAAAGTTTTGGTAATACTTACCAAGTTAGTAAAGTAATAACTTCCTTCACCACTCATCAGTCTGCCTGGAGCACTCAGCTTCGTAATGTACTCTATGTTAGATTTTAAGCGTGGGGGATTTGCTTTTAGAACGATAAATACCAAGGCAGGCAAAAACTCATCAGCACTGGCTGGTCTGTCCTGACACAACTGGATGAAATTGAGGATGTGATAGCTACAGTGAACAATGCAGTCTATTTTGTCCAGAGATGCCCTTCTAGAATCCATTTCAATGATATCTAGGAGTAACATACAAATATCAAAGTTCTCAGCAGATTCAAAAATAGACAACTCTAGTAAAATGTAAAAATATTCTGATTTTATTTTTATTGTGCTTAAGATCAACATACAAGTTACAATTCATGTTTAAAGGGTGTCAACTCTCAATTGTCAAGTTGAATGAAAATTATAATTTTCCTATACTGAAAATATATGTCCTATAGGCACTTACTTCCTCTCACATAAATAGCTATTTTCGTTCAGTGATGTCTTGTATATGCAAAAAATTTTTTCATACGCCACAAGCCTTGAGCTCACATGTACCTTATAATCAACTGATTCAAATGCATCTTGCATATAAATTATCGTGTGACAACCCTCCACCAATAAGAGTGTGAAACACTCTCTTGATGCATGCAACTCCCTCTATTTGATACTACCGAACAATCATTTCGAGTTTAGGAAGCAAATGGAAGCACTGGTTTTCAGTGGAGAGGAAGGGTCGGAAGTGTGAGACGAGGTAAGTACCTGTTGGAAATATATTTTCAGTATAGAAAATTATAACCTCTGATATGGTGCATTACCTCTTCTCGCATAAACAGCTAGAATCCCACATTGACTAGGTGGAGGGACTGCTGTGAGGAAAAACAAAGCAGCATTCCTCAAAACTTCCAAAGAACACCCTAAAAGGATAGACCCTCATAGGAGAGGATCATATGTGGGAGACGGCACCACATCTGTACCAGGTATACTCTTTGCCCAGTTTGGAATGAGGTGTCACAAACATGGCCAGAAAAAAAGGAAGGAGCACGTCCCTATAGGAGAGAACAATGGCGGGATAGGGATCTGAACCATCATATAACAAATCTCAACCCCATAGATTACTGGAATGTGGGTGAAAGGCAAAGAATATGCTCCTAGGCGTAGAGTGGCTAGGGCATGATGGTCCCTACGCTGCTAGTCAACTGCATCCAAAACTCAGGCCCCGGGGAAATGACATAGATGTGAGGTAGGAAAGAGGATCATACAGGTGGCAAGTCAACTACAACCCAAAACCCAGCCATCTGTTGAGGGGTAAGATCATATCATCTTCACCTCAAATTCAAGAGATCGAAGGAAATTTCACACCCCCACCACCAATCTAGTAATGGGACACATGATACCAAAGTGAGAAATTGATCGATAGATTTGGGAACCCAAAAACCAAACGATCAGTATTGTAAAGATATCTCTGCCATGTAAACTCTCAATTAAAAACCAATCCAACAGGAACTGCCCCTAGTGCAATAACATCCTCAGTATAATAAAAATCATTGACGGATAGCGTAAGAGGAAGAACCGTATTAATCTTCAAGTACCACCATAGTGACGCACAATATGGTTGGTGGAAAAAAAAAAAAAGAGTATAATTGAGTGAGGAAACAGAGACACCTGTAATACATGTGTGAAGACTAATGTTGATTGGTCTGAAACCCAGTCACTGGGAAATAACATCCATGTGGGGGTGTGAAGAAGGATCCCAATTGAAGGGGTGAACTAAATTTTGACAACTCGCTCCAAAGCTACCACATCCCCTCGGATAACTCCGTACAGAGATGGAGCAACAGACTGGAGGACATCTCGTCATCTACACAAGCAGAACACCACTCCCCTACTCTCAAATGAGTGATTTTATAGTTTATCATTATCATATTTAGGAGGATGCCTCCATGGTTCACCATTCCAGCAGCTTGGAACTGGAAACTGGTTAGGACTCCCATACTCAATTGAAAGAAACGGGGAGAGAAAATATGATGGAGAGTCTGAAGGAACATCAACACTGGAGACAGTGCAATGGGTGACCACAAAAACCCTATTTTGAAAAGCAGACCATACCTGATTTGTTCAATCTATGGTATGGCGGAGATGGGCAGCTATTCTTTTCTGTTTTACCCATGAAGTCCATGGGTGAGTACAGTCCAGAACGGGCATATTAACAAAGCAAATATATCGGGAGGACAAACCTACAAGCGATCTTGTGGAACACCCCCCATCTCAACAGTGAGCATGTTATGGCCATGGATGTTAGAAATGAGCAGTCAATGTGGCCTGACATTGCAGATTTTACTAGGAGAAGCATATCTGGTCAGGCACCACTCACCATAAAAAAGATATAACAGATAATTTACTCAGTCACAGTCTCACCGAAGTCTGAAGAATATCTACAGGTGGAAAACTATAACCCGAAGATGATGATATAGCGATTCTATGCAGATAGTGAGATATGAATGTATGTTGAGTAGTCCACATGCCTGATTGAAGAATTTATTCCAAAAGACGATGGAAATGAGATGCCAGGAAAAAGGTAAGGTGCCTGATCCAATGAGAAGATACTTGGAACAAATTACAGGAAGAAGAGGATAAGGAAGAATAAGCCTAAACGATTCAACCCACTGCTCGGCATCATTTATTGCAAGTGACACGAGGGTTTAGTGACTTGCATTCAAAATTCTATGAAACTACTATTTGTTTGTTATACCAATTACTATAACATAATATTGTAGCTAATAATCGATATTTTTTATGGTATACAAGTTTTAAGTTCTTAATCTTATAAGCCAATATTTTAAAAAATTCTGAATTTCCCCTAGTGTGAGAAATACATTTTCTCTAGGCATCCTCTCTTCTCTATTTTATTCACCACCCCTCCAATAAGTAAGAAATTTAACATAAATTACTCACTATAAAATCGTCATTGCTCAGACAAACCATAATTTTTATAGCCTTCAATTTTGTTTGGTTACAGAGCCATCAAGTAGAAAATCAGACCCCTCTTGCCACACCCACCTGTCACATAATCTCTTAAAGGATTTGTTAATAGATCTCTCATTCATTTAATTCTATATTATCTATAACCAATAGAAAGCTAAGTTTTCAATTTCACTTTTAGTACAAGCTTCATTCCCATATTGTCTGCTTTTTTGAATGTTATAATTCTATGTTCTTTGGTGCATTATTTAATTAAATAAAAATATTTAGTGGATTACTATCATTAGTATAAAAAAGTAGGGTTAAGTGTCATTGACAGTCAGCAGCAAAAAAAAAAAAAGAACTTGGGT